CGCTCGCTTTCGTTCTGGAAATTTCGATGTGAAAGATACGAAAAGACTTTTTCGACTACCCTATACATTTAAGGGCATTTCCATTTCGAAACAGAAGAAAGATGCTGCGTTGGGTACTCATGTGCAACACTAATCTTGTTGCCACTTTCTACTGAACTGCTTGGATATAAAGTCAGCCATTAAGACTATTAAGATCAAAGCGAAGACAAATTTACGACTCGGTAATAAACCTGAACCGGCTCTTTATGCTTCACTCATTAGCTTGACACAAATGTTTACTTTCTCGTTAATTGCGTACAGGGGTTTCCTGGCTAAAACGAAATCGGCTAAGGAAAAGCTCCCAGCGAGTTTGCTGGCTGAGGCAGAGTCCTCAAACGACCAGTCGTCATTAGAGCTCTTTCCCGTGCTTTTGGAAGACGTTTGATTATAAAAAGGAAATTCTTCGTATTTCCTCTTTTGTGTATAATCCACGTTCTAGAGTGCCGTGCGAATTTGTTTTGGAAGAAGACCAATCCAGAAAAGAAGGTGCATTAAATGCGCTTCAAATTGGTATGATAATAGTGTAAGAGTTGAGTTCACGAACAAAACGATAATCGAATTACAACTATCAAAACCAAACTTTCTTCAATGACCAAAAATCCAACAAAATTTGATTCGTACATTAACTTTGCACTTCGGATTTATTCTAAACTTGCGTGATGTGTATAACTGGCTATATTTTTTCTGGAAAGATTTGTTTAATTTCAACCACACTATTTGTGCTTGAATTTTTTCGTTAAAAATTTTGTTTGAAAAAAAGGTGATTCTAATCGGTAGTAACCAGTCGAGACTAAACACTTGATGTTTTTCATTTAGTCCTGCATACTGGTTAATATATGTCAATGTATCTGCAACCATTGTGATGTTGCAAGGCTCATTTTTGTGAAGGCAAGAGACTGCAACGAGTATCTGCTGCACTTGAATACCTACCCTTCAGTAATTATCTTCTTTCATGTGATACAATGTAGTGTTTCTTAGAAGAATCAAGATGCGGAAGTTGAAATTAGATAATATTTATTGAGCAAGACAGCGAACTATTCAACTTGCGCCTATTCGTATTTCAAAAGAAAGAAAGAACAGCAAAGCAAGTGTTGCGCAATACCAATAAGACTTAACTGACATAGTTAACTTAACCCTCATCCTGCAAAGACGATAGTTTACTCATGAAAGAAGCGATGGCGACAGTATACTTGTCATGAGAAAACTTTTTGAAAGTATTGAGGGAGAGAGAACGTTCGGCGACAGGATAATTCCACCAAGCGCCATTGGAGACAGGATGTCTGGACATACCACAATTGGGCTGAGTATAACCGGCGAGAGCACGTAGGGATTCATGATGTTAGGGGATAAAACGTATGGAGAGAGGACGAAAGGGGCCATAGCAAGAGGAGATAGAATATAAGGCGAAAGTACATAGGGTGAAACAATAAAAGGAAGCGGAAATGATGGTGATAGAATCCATGGACCAAGCATTGATGGGTTTAGGATCAGTGGAGAGAAAAGATTTGGAGAAAGTATTACAGGACCCAAAACAGTGGCACCGTAAACAGGAGCGAATTGGTACGGACTAAGAATTGCGGGTTTCAGCACGACTAACGGATTAATTTTCCTCTTTCTGCGACGCTAAACAAAAATCTTCTTGAATTAAATATTGAAAATGGTCTTGTAAGCACTCACAGTGTTGAAACCAGCTAGTTCTCCTATGGATCGCCAAAGCATCTCCTCTCGTTTCCATTTTGGTAGTTTCTTGTATTCATCCATCTGCTCGCGAACTTCTGGCTCATTCAGGTCTTAATATGTGTTTCTTCATTACCAAAGCCATCAACATTTATGAAACTTCCTGATCACTGACTTTGCTTTTTATGCAGCTCTTCAATCTGCTTAGGGCTCATGAAGGTAAACCCTCTCCTGTTCATTTCCTTGTTCTGGTGTGGTGTGAGTGACGACAGCAGCTGTTCAAAGATTTTTCCTATCTTAATGAATCATTGAAATTACCAGTAACAGATAATGTCCAGAAAGAATGTAAGGAGGTGAAAACTTGGCCATCTCCTGTCAACTCGTCAATAGGGTACAACTGCGTGTTACTGTGAACAGCCCTGAACCAAACGCTGCGTAACGCAGAACTTCTCCAAAATTTTCCAAAAGATAGCTTGCTCCAAAAGCCTAACTCTATTTGTAGCAGACTCTGACTGCACATTACACAGCCACAAGTGACTCGATATAACGCTACCCAATGGTCTTGGGCTGCTCGCACAACGATTACCCTAAGATGGACCAAATGCTGAAATTGCCTTTCTCTAATAAGACGTCCTCATTCTGAAATTCCCATAGCTAATCATTAAATCATTGTCAGTGTTCCATATTCTAGGAATTCGTTCTACAAGAGCTACTTTATTTCTGAATACATTTCCTAGTTTAGAGTAAATGGCGACTTCAAACTTACATTTTCATTGACAGAGAGGAGTGTATCATCCATGCCCAGGTAGCTCAAAACCTAAAGCAGCTGAAAACACATCTTGTAGCCGTAGATCGTGTAAAAACCAACCAAAGGACTTTTAAAAACATGCCTTCATTGCTTTATCCACTGCATCACGAGCTCCCGACACTTCCATAACCATCTCTAGGACACGCTCGCGATCCTTCTCGTTGAGGCCAGCTGCCTCCAGCATCTGCAGTCTCTTACTCTCTTACTAAACTCTCTTCAACAATAATCAGCTGATTTACCTTTGGGACTGGCATGACCTGCTGTTCTGTGTCATCTTTATAAAATGGGAATATTGAAGGTGACAGAAACCCCTTAGAACTTTTGTCCGGAAGAAGAGGCGCAATTCGTGGGCTCAGAATCCGTGCATTTTTAGCTCCACTGAACGATTTTACTATGTTAAATGCACTCTGCAGAAAAGGTGGAACGTTCATTATCTGCAATGCACACCTATGAAACAATATACTGTAAAAGCTGATACAAAACGAGTCACCTCTTCTTTATGTTTCGTCTCCTTACCATCCATGACAAGGTCATAAATGCGCATATTATATACTCGTGCTCCAGGTAGATTTTCGTTGTTGTCTATGACTTTAGACAATCTCACGATGCTCCTGTAAGTGGTGGACCACTTATGAGGAAGCTCATCGGCCGTAGCTTTTCCAAATAATGAAACGAAGAGATTTGCCACTCTGTGGACGGGGCTCTTTGATGGAGATTTCAGGAGTGGTGGTGCGAATTTCGTAGATTTTACCTAGAATAATACGTGTGACATATTGCATTATGTAGTTTATTGAAGGTTCGAACATTTGTCTTGCCTCGAAATGGTTGCTATCTTTCAAACTTGTTGGAAGTACCAGCCGATTGGAGCTTCTTTTACCTCTTTTGCTTCGAAGTATTCGCCTTCTTCTCATTTGTCGTATGCTGACTAGTCTTGATCTACGAGTTTGATAGAATACGAAGGAAGGCGTTTTGTTTTCTGCTCTTCTGTAAAAAATAGTATGGAAATTTATAAGTAAAGTTTTATGTCTTGAGGAGTGTCACTTTGTCTTTACTCCCAACTTATCTTTCTAAGTTACATGAGATGTTTTCTTCAGATCTACTAGGAATTCTGATGGTAAGCTTTTGTTCTAGAAATTAGGTTTTGCAAGCATAAATGCATAACTGCACAGCCAGTTGTCGTTCATCAGCAGTCCTCACTTTAATGTTTAAGAGCCGATTGAAACGGTGTTATACTAACTTTGCTTTATTGTATTTTATTTGCTTCTTCCATCGTTCCTTGGCCTTTAGCAGACATACAGCTGTTTTTCGGAGATCTTTAGTGTATACGATACGTTTCAAGCATAACTTCAATCGTTCTCGCGACGCTGAAATAAGAACAGACAGATTAATGATTGAAATGAGTTTGATGGCAAGGACAAGTTTAGCTTACAACTATTTAGATCATGAAGCAATTCTTTGGCGAGCTGTCCCAGTAGGGCCTTAATTGAGAAGAAATACCAGTTTCGATGAACCTCATTCATGTTGCGTAGACCTTGTTGGTCCAGCAATAGGCTTTTGTGCTCTTGCCCCTTAAATTTAGTCTCGCTTTGAACCTGTAATAAAACAAGCCGCTTATAT